TCCTTTATATAGCTTAAAGGGGAGGGGGTGGTCTCCTACTTCCTCTTGAAGTTGATCTTTACAAGCATAGAAAGTCCTATCCTAATTCTAATATTATCTTTTTATCTAATGAACTCAAYYCCTTTATCTTTCTAAGATTACATCAAGAATTTAAATCTGGAAGGACTCTTCTTAGTTTCTTGTTCTTGGATTCATATTAGACCTCCTCTGCGAATTGGGCTTCAGCCAGGCTTTTCTGCAAGTTGGGCTTCAGCCAGGCTTATCTGCAAGTTGGGCTTCAGCTGCGGATTGGGCCTTCCTACAAATTTTCCCCAACTTTGGGCCCGGATTTGACTTCGATGCAGGCCGAATCTGCGAAAGACCAAAACATGAAAGTTGTGGATTTTTCTCTTTTCTTTCCTGTGGATTTTGAATCAGCCCATTTAGAGTTAAGATACGTGAGTTAGGCCCAGATTACTGAACGATGTCGAAACTGTGAAAAATCATCCGATTTGTCTTTCTTTGCTCCTGATGCCTTCTCATGCCCTGAACAGAAATATGAGTCCAATTAGATGCTAATTTGGTATAAAAGACATAATAATTGGGGATAAAAATATGATAAATTCTACTCTCATCAAATCCCCCACACTTAAACTCTTGCCCGTCCTCGGGCAAGACAAAACTCAAAATTAAAATTAAAACAATAACAAGCTAACTGAAAGATTGTTTTGGATTTTTCTCAACAGGGTATTTGTTCTCCCGCATGCCTTGATCTAGTACTAATGGTCCTTCCATTCGTCTATTTCTTTTCCTCTTTAACTTATCAAAGAATAATCTTAAATCGTCAATTCACATGTCCCCAAGTGAGATCGACAATCAAGGGAAACAAGCATCTCTTTGCATGAATAATTTAGGGCTAGAGTAAGCCCTCCTTGTTTTCATAATCACATGCTGCAAGATTCAAAACAATTACCCTCTCACGATTTTTTAGAACAAAACAAGGAATGTTATTACCATAAGCTTGCTTACGTATCACATCTCCACCACTTATCATGAGTCCAATGCATCAAAAGGTGAATTTGGGTTTGGGATCTAAGGATGAGTGCATTTTATGCTCCATCTCACCCTTTTCTTATTCTTTTAGTGTGAGTGCATTTTATGCTCCATCACACACGAGTTTTTTTTTTTTTTTTTTTTTGAATAACACAACCATATTTGTCTGTTAGAAACTGAATGCTCACAAGGGTCAAATTTGTATTGCATCTTGCCCGTTGATCATTCAAACTACTGAGATACCTTCCATAGCCAAAAATTTCAGCTAGATTTGCCTACATCCTTTCCTGTCTATCCCACCTAAGCACATGATTCAGGGTGATTTGCAATCATTCAAAAACAAGTCCCTAAGGAGCAGAAATTTTGAAAGGAAGGGTTAAAAAGATGATTAAAGCATGCTAAAGTCCGAAAAAATTTATCAACCCCTTAATCCTCTCCCACACTTAAGATATACATTGTCCTCAATGTATAGAATATGCATAACAAGAACAAGGAGAGAAAGATTTAAGAGGACTTCCCTGAATGCCTCGTTGAGATCCTGTAGATGTGTGATACGAAAAAAAACACTCATAAGAGAAAAAGAAAACTGAACAAAACAAACAACTAAACTTATTGGGTTGCCTCCCACAAGCGCTCATTTTAAGTCGTGAGCTTGACTTTCACCTTTCCTTCATGGTGGATGGGTTGTTCTCCTTCAATGTAATGCTTCAACCGCTGTCCATTTACCTTGAATGTGTTGCCCTTACCATTATGCAATTCAATCGCTCCATGAGGGAGTACCCTAGCTACTTCAAAGGGTCCGTTCCACCTGGTTTTCAACTTCCTATGTTTCCCCCTTTCATCCTTCATAGGTGGGTTTAAACTTGGAATAGGGGCCTGCACAATAGATGGGAGGGGTTTTGTGTGAGATGGAGGTAAACTAATAAAAGATGCATTATGAGTTGCAATTTCAAAAGAGTCTAGCTCAGAAGTCAAATTTCGCAGTTTTGATTTCAATACAAACTTCTACTCTGCTCGTTGCAATTGATTAGGACTATTGTTAAGTGCAACTTTCAGCATGTCTTCTGATTTAGATGTATCTACTTCAGCTGCACCAACATCAATGGTATCGATTACATAAATTTCATGTTCAATTGTGTTGGGATGTTCCATGGTTTTAAATACATTGAACACCACTTCTCCACCATTGATTCTAAGGGTAAGTAGACCTTTTCGCGCATCAATCAAAGCATCACCAGTAGCAAGAAAAGGTCTCCCTAAAATCAGAGCCATTGTCTTATCTTCCTCCATATCCAACACAATGAAATCAGCAGGAATAATAAAATTGCCCACTTTGACCAAAACATCTTCTACTATTCCCCTAGGATATTTAATGCTTCTATCAGCTAATTGYAGGRTAATAKTKGTARATGTTAKTTYATGYARWCCAAGTTTTTCAAAAATAGAATAAGGCATTAAATTTATACTAGCACCTAAATCACATAAAGCTTTTTCAAATTCAGTATTCCCTATGGTGCAAGGTATAGNTGAACATTCTTCGTTTAGTTTTACCATCTCACCATCCTCCCACTTTCTTTTGTTGGACATTATCTCTTTTAGGAATTTGGCATACTTCAGCATTTGTGACAAAACATCAAGAAGAGGAAGGTTAATATGAATCTTTTTGAAAACTTCTAAAAATTTGTCAAATTGCTTATCTAATTTAGCCTTCAGGACTCTTCTTGGGTAGGGAATAGGAAGTTTAATTTCATGTAAATTCAGTTTAGGGGTACTTCCCTCATTCTCCTTTTGCAGATCGGCCACTTCAGCTTCCTTGTCTTCTCTTTGAATTTCGCCAACTGTTTTCCCACTTCTTAAAGTTATGGCGTTTACTTGCTCTCTGGGGTTCTTTTCTGTGTTGCTGGGTAGCCTTCCCTCTTTCCTTTCTAACAACATGCTTACAATCTGCCCCACTTGAACCTCTATGTTTTTAATCGATGTTTCTTGCTCTTGGAACCTTGCTTCAGTGGCATTACTAAACTTAGAGATCATTTCCTCCAGTTTGTTCTTTTCTTCTTGTGGGGGCAACTGTGGTTGGAATCCCATGGGTTCCATTGGTTGATTGTTGCTCCATGAAAAGTTTGGATGATTCCTCCACCCTGGGTTGTATGTATTTGAATATGGGTTGAAGTTTGACCTACTAGCATGAGAGATAAAATTAGCATTCTCATGGGAAATAAAAGGACTATTTAATTGGCAATTAGAATTAGTATGTCCCATTTGACCACATAAATCGCATGAGATGCTAGATTGTGTATTAATGGTTGCAATATTGAAAGTATCAAGTTTCTTATTCAGATTAGCAATTTGCGCAGATAGGGCTACAAAGGAATCGATGTGGTGCACTCCCCTCTGATTGGTTCGATCATCGCTCCACTGGTAGCTGTTTGATACCATCTCCTCCACTAGGTCATATGCTTCCTCTGGAGTTTTCCTCATGATCGTACCACCTGCGGCTGCATCAATAATGGATCGGTTAGAGGGGGTAAT